CTTGCTGCCTATGGACGCCCTCTACTGTTGTATACAACACCCGTACTCAATGCATCTCTGTTCGGTGCTTATTCAGGCTTGCTGCCTATGGACGCCCTCTACTGTTGTATACAACACCCGTACTCACTGCATCTCTGTTCGATGCTTATTCAGGCTTGCTGCCTATGGACACCCTCTACTGTTGTATACAACACCCGTACTCACTGCATCTCTGTTCGATGTTTATTCAGGCTTGCTGCCTATGGACGCCCTCTACTGTTGTATACAACACCCGTACTCACTGCATCTCTGTTCGATGCTTATTCAGGCTTGCTGCCTATGGACACCCTCTACGGTTGTATACAACACCCGCACTCTGTTCGATGCTGATTCGAGCTTGCTGCCGGAACTGCACCCTCTACGGTTGCATACAACCCCTATATACTCACTGCATCGCGGGAATCGGTCGAGAGGCGGTTCCCAATAGCCGGTGCCGCTCGAGCAGTTGCATGTCACAGAGGAGACGCCGATAAGACTGAAGCCTCGGTCCGTGCACGTGAACTGCACGGTGGTGTTGCACCCCGCACCGGACACGAAGTGGATCGCCTTGTCCGTCGGTACGTTCTGCTGTCGGCTGATCGAGTCCAGATTCAGACACGAATCCTGCGCTGTAAGCACACAGAATCGACATGTGACAGCGGGGAGGAGCAGTGTTTGTGTGTGTGTGTGTGTGTGTGTGTGTGTGTGTGTTCGCACGTGCGTGCGTGCGTGCGTGCGTGCGTGCGTGCGTGCGTGCGCGCGTGCGTGCGTGCGTGCGTGCGTGCGTGCGTGCGTGCGTGCGTGCGTGCGCGCGTGCGCGTGTACTTGCGTGCGTGCGTGTGTGCGTCTTTGCTTTTCTCTATAAGCGGGCGCCTTACTGCATCGCGCGTCCGTGCCGTTCTCGTGCTCCCAGTACGCGTCGAGGGTCGTGTCCGCACACCGGCACACCATCCAGCGCGACCCGCTCAGTTTCCTTGTCTTGCTGTCGCAGCGCACGGTCACGTTCGTGCCGCATGCGCAGTGGATCTCATTACAAGCTGGTGCTAGCGGATAGGTGAGCACGCGCGTGTCGTCGCTGCGTGATTGGTCAATCTTGTGGCAGCCTCCTGCAGTGTACACAAGGGGGCGCATCAGGGCATCAGTAGCATCAGGGTGGATACTTTCGAACAGTCGAAAGTATAGACTGCGTTCCGAACGATCGAATTTAAATCAAATCTTTAAAGAAAATTATATGCAACTTAATCAGCAACCTTCTTGTAGCGTTTTAAATTATGTGGATTCATTCACCACGTAGTTTCAATTTCAAATTGGAATCGGGAATCCCCCCGCAGGAAGCGATTCAATTCTACGAAACTTGTCAATTCTATACTAAGAATCTTGAACGCTGGTAAAATACAACGTAGGACTGTCTCGCTTACGGATTTCAATTATGTATAGCTTTAGGAAGTGTCCTGCTCGCTCGCTGCTACCAAAAAATATATACGACAGGGGAAATTACAATAATCGCGAGAAAATATGATAAATATAATACGAAAATACGCTACGCAACAACGACGACGGGCGGGGCTCACAACAGTCGCAAGAGCTTACGGCAATTCGGCCGGTTGATCCAGCGACCTGAGCCGCTATCGCAGTTGCAGATGGCCGTGGCGGTGCCGATGATTGTCATACCGGAGCCGCACTCGTACTTGACGGCCGTGTCGCATCGACAAGTCGTCTGCGAACACCCCATTGCCGGGTAGTCGACGGCGTGACCGAGCTTGTGGTTTTGGGAGTCGACGACGACACCGTCCTCCTTCGCGCATCCGGCTGCGGCGGTAATGACACCGTGTGAGAGCGCAGTTCCGCCCGAGCTTATAGAACGTCATTAAAACGTCTTTAATAATATTTTTAATTATAATAATATTTTAATTTTTAATTATATTTTAGAACGTTATTACCGTCCACGTATGACGTAGAACGTCGTTAACGTCTACTTATGACGTAGAACGTCGTTAACGTCTACTTATGACGTAGAACGTCGTTAACGTCTACGTATCATTACGTAGAACGTCATTAACGTCTACGTATAAAGTAGAACGTCGTTAACGTCTACTTATGACGTAGAACGTCGTTAACGTCTACGTATCATTACGTAGAACGTCATTATACGTCTAGCGTATGACGAGTAGAACGTTATAAGCCTCCTGCGGTATCATGCGTAGAACGTCATTAACGTCTACGTATGACGTAGAAACGTTATTAACCTCTGCGTATCATTTGCGTAGAACGTCATTAACGTCTACGTATGGCGTAGAACGTTATTAACCTCTGCGTATCATTGCGTAGCAAGCGTGCCAATTAAACAGTCTACCGTATGGCGTAAGAACGTTATTAACCTCGCGTATCATCCGTGCGTAGAACGTCATTAACGTCTACGTATTATGACGGAGAACGTCGCGAAGATGTCAGTGTGCAGTGGTAACTAATCCTCGACAAATAGACAAATAGAGCCGCGTCTGTGGAAATGACGGTTACTCAGCCCACCGAGTAACGCATGCATGTAGGGTTACGGGGCTTAGTGCATAGTAGTCTAGGCCAAGTGGATGCCTGTCTGTCACGCGCTGGGCAGAATACTCTTTACCCCTGAAGTGAGTATTATTATAGTACCCTATAATACTATAGATTATATTTATTATTCATACGGATGCAATCAATCGATCGTGCGTTTTCTTGTGTTGACGGCCGAACCTATATAGTGCAATGCCATGATCAAGTCCGAATAATCTGCCCCGTTATATTACTCCCAGCCAAAATCCTGTTCGCTGCTTATCCCAGCGCTTGCCTATGCCTATGGAACACCCCTCTACCTGTTGTAACACACACCCGTACCTCACTGGCATCTCTGTTCGGTTGCATCTATTTCAGGGCCCTTGCTGCCTACTGGACAGCCCTTCGTAGCTGTTGTATACAACACCCGTACTCACTGGCAATCTCTGTTTCGATGTCTTATTCAGGCTTGCTGGCCTATGGACGCCCTGACTACTGGTTGTATACAACACACCCGTACCACTGCATCTCTGTTTCCGCTGCTTATCTCAGGCTTGCTGGGGACCTATGGACAAACCCCTCTACCTGGTTGTAATAGCAACACCGATCCGGTACTCACATGCCATCTCTCTGCTCTGATGCTTTTCAGCGGCCTTGCTGGTCTATCGGACTTCTTCTACTGTTGTATACAACACCGCGTACTCACTGCGCATCTCCTGTTCCGATGTTTATTACAGTCGAGCTTGCCTGCCGCGCTCATGGACGCCCTACTTTGCAAACAGTATGTATACAACACCTCGCCGTACTGCACTGCATCTTGCTCGTTCGATGCGCGTTACTTCAGGCTTGCTGGCCTATGGACCGTTCCCTCTACTGTCTTGTATACAACACCCGTAGCTCACTTGGCATCCTCTGTTTCGCGATGTTTATTCAGGCTTGCTGCCCTTACTGACGCCCTCTACCTCATTTATACAACACCCGTACTTCCCAACGCAGTATACATGTCTCGATGCTATTCAGCGCTTCGCGTGCCGTATGAACACCCTCTATTGTCTGTATAACAACCCCGTACTCACTGCATCCCTCTTGTTCCGAATGTTTATCTCAGGGCCTTGCTGCCTATGGACGCCCTCTACTAGTTGTATACAACCGTATATTGCTTCACTGAGGGGGTGGACTGCGTTTGCAGCATAGAGCAGTCTTTGTGGCGCATGTTTAATTCAGAGCTTGCTGCCTATGGAGCTGGCGCCTCTGTAAGCTGCTGTATACAACACGCCGTACTCAACTCGCATCTGCTGTATCGAGTTGTCCTATGCAGGCTTAGCATGGGCCTATGGAGCGCCGCTCTACTCGTCTGTACTACAACACGCCGGGTACTTCACTGCATCAATCGTGGTTCCGATGTGCTTCTATTCAGGGCTTTGCTGCCCTGATGAGAGCACACGCGCACCCTCTAAATACTGTTGTAACCTACAACTATCTATACCCTGCACTCTGGCATCTCTGTTCGATGCTTATTCAGCTCGCGTGCGCTAATGGCATCACCTCTGCTAACGGGATTGTTATACAGACACCAGCATCACACACAGCGATCGTCGATGTATGTCTCGTCTGCATGCTAGAGATTCGAAGCTATTGCTATAGCGGGCCGGGGTGAAGACTAGACGCCTCGTACGGATTGCATTAGCAACGCCCTGGGAATGGTCATACTACACTGCGCGAGCGCGGAGCATCGGTGCCCGAGCAGGCGGTTCCCAGCCAACCAATCAGCCGGTGCGACGTCAGAGACAGCGTGCAAAATTCAACAAGAGGGAGCCACGCCGGGTACTGAGACTGAAGCACATTTCGTCCCGTGCATCGTGAACTAGCAGCGGATGGTATGTTGCAAGCCCCGACAACCGGAACACGAAAAGTGCGGATCGCAGCTTGTCCCGTACGGGGATAACGATTGACTGGTCTTCGTGACGCTGATCAGAGTCAACGAGATTCAGTGACAATGCTTGGTGGAGGGGGGAAGGCGTGGTGCGAATCCATCCGCGCTGAAGCAACACAGAATCGACACTGTGAAGACGGGGGAGGGAGCAGCTGTTGTCGTGTGTGTGGTGTGTGTGTATGTAGTGGTGCGTGGTGTGAGTGTAGTTATGATGTGGGTGTGGTGCTGTGTGTGTGGTGTGTAGTGTCGTGTTGTGTGTGGTGTGGTGTGGTGCGTGTGTCGTGTTGTAGGGTGTGTTGTGTATGTGTGTGTGTGTGTGTGGGTGTGTGTGTGTGTGTGTGGCTGTGATGTGTTGTGCTTGTGTGTGTATATATATGTGCGTGTGCGTGTGCGTGTGCGTGTGTGTGTGCGTGTACGTGTGTGTGTGCGTATGTGTGTGCGTGTACGTGTACGTGTGCGTGTGCGTATGTGTGTGTGTGTGTGGCGGGGTATAACTTACATTCTCGCCGCCCTCCATCCCAGCTTGATCTTCCCCTGCTGCTAGTGGTCATAGTCTCGTTGCCAATGTAAAGGTTATCGGACGTGGTCGAGTTCTCAATTGCAGTATGGAGAATGTACTCTATAATTCAATACGGATTAATGCACATATATATAATATCATTCTACTACTCTAACGCGAACGTTGATACTATTGCGGGTGTGTTGGTTGTGTACGTGCGTGCGTGCGTGTGTGCGTGCGTGTGTTTGCGTGTGTTGGTGTGTGCGTGATTGCGTGTGTGTGTGTGTGTTTGCGTGTACATGTGTTTGTGCGTGCGTGTGTTTGTGCGTGCGTGGGAGTGTAAGTGAGTGTTTGCGCGCGCGCGCGCGCGTGTGTGTGTATGTGTGGCCGCCCGCGTGCGTGTGTGTGTTTGTGTGTGATTGTGTAGAAAATAAAAGAAGATGGCGGCTTGTGATACATATAGGATATGCGAGTAGAGAAAAACGGCACATTGTGTAAGTTGAGTATGGCATCAAAGTTCCTATCCTCGTGATCTTTATTTTACAAGTCACTGGATTATTTGCAAATTTCACTCGCTATTCGGCGGTTTACTTGTAAAAGATGTCAGCATTAGGCTTATATGTTCGTGATGATAACCATATAAAGCAATCACTCCTTTGCTACTCCATTGTAGGAACATTGTACTGCACTTACCGCTTATCACCGGAAGCCCCAAGATCGCAAAACACGAGCACACAAAACACCATTTCTTCATCATTTTTATTACAACCAGCCGCACGCACACACTATAATATACATGTATGTAAGATTATGATGCGGATTGCCTCCAGCGTTTAGGCGTAGCTTAGAACACGGTTCGTCTACTATGTCACAGCCACCAACCGGATATGCACATAAAGGAAGTAGATGACGTAGAATGACGTAGCGTACTGTTAACGTAACCAAACACGCGGATCTAGAAACTGCAACCGGTGTGGTTGCCCCCGTATAGCTCTAGTACAATTATTATGTATTAATATAATACGCATAGAGAACTTCGTATCCGCGTTCTGCATGCTGAACTATACATTTTTATCGAATTATCCATGGTCATGTGAAAATTAGTATTCTATATTGTTTCAGCAAACTCGATCGTTGTACTTGATTATAATAATTATTATAGCTAGGGCGCTCTCCTAATTATAAACACAGGCCTACATATTAAAATTTAATACAGAAATTTATGCTGAGATACACCCTAACCATATTAAATGCATATTCATCAGAAAATATAACTCCTCTGGTGAGATATTGCGCATGCGCTAACACACTTTTAACGTAGCCAGATTGTGTACTGACTGACAGGGCCTATATGCAGCGAGGACCTTACATGCAAGGTCTTTGTCCTATTTCTTAAGTGAGGTCTGCGGGTGGTATGTTATCATATAAATCTATGCTAGGATACCTGCTCTTCATTTTAGATGTTTAATTTTTGCAAAATATTATTCTTCTCGTGAGATATTGCGCATGCGCGAGCACCGTTTCAGGCGCTCAGAACGGACAGAAGCAAACTGCATAATATAGCTTGCCGACTCTGAGAGGGGTGGGAGACTGAGGACAGATGGCAGGGAAGATAGCTGAAGGCGGTAGACGAAGAAGGAGTGTTTGCGAGAGGCAAGAAAGGCAGTGAGAAAACGAGAGGGGATAATGTAAGAGTTTTGCACCCTGCAGGCTATATAAGTTCGATCACAACATGCTTTCTCAATCTGTCGTCTTCGAAGGATCCAATCAAGTTTCGTTTCGTTTAAGTGTGGTTAATATTGACTCTCTCCTTCTTCGCTACAGCCCATTGGACCTTTAATGACGGCTTTATCACGTTGTGTTGCACCACAGACTAAAAATGTCGTTGATATATATGGTTGTTATCTTTCATAGATATTGTTAAATGGTATCACACAGAGCCTTAAATAGATAGCGTTCTCTATATAAGGCACTGATATCCCCCAGATTGCTCCTCTTGGACTCTGAAGACTAATATTTACGAGGTTACGAGGTCATAAGGCAGCACATGAGGGCTAAAAACGGGCTAAAAACAATATATCCTATAGGCAGTCACGTAGACTTCCATTCTGGAAATAACGTGAATGAATAGCTCTGTAATATGCAAATTCAACTCTTAAATTCAAGTTATAGAGTTTAAACCACTGATGTGTATATAATATAAGGAGCGTATAATGACAAATATACAAAAATTTGTCATTATACGCTCCTGATAATATGATATGTATTACATACACCCATAGAAATAACATACTATAGATAGCAGGGGCGTAAATCCGTACCGAGGAGTGGGGTGATCGGCGATAGCCGGGGGCGAAATT